CTTTCTTTTTCTTCTTTTTGTCTTTTTTTTTTCACTTTCTATCTTTTTTCTTGTTTCTCTTTTCTTTCAGAGGGGTTTTTTTTTTTCGCCTTATTTTTTTTCCTCTTTTCCACTTTATTTTTTTTCTCTTTCCCACTTTATTTTCTTTCTTTTTCTGCTTTTTTTCTTCTTCTTTCTTGTTTTGTTCTTTTTCTTTCGTCTTTTTTTTTTCTAGCTTCTCATTCTTTTATTTATTTTTTCTTGTTTTCCTTTTTTGTTCGCACTTTTCATTTTTCTATTATTTTCACTATTCTTGTTTTTTTTTTTTTTTTTAACTTAACTAACCTATTTTTTTTTCTATAAATTTGGCCTTCTAAGTCATTCTCAGAATCGTAGTTCTTTGGAGCCATCATTTTTGAAGTCATCGTTCTTTGAAGTTATCATTCTTTGGAGTTGTTATTCTTTGAAGTTATTGTTCTTTGAAGTTGTCTTTCTGTTGGACCTTCATTAGCATTTTTTGGATGTACTTTCTTGGATCCTTGCCATTGAACTTTTTTTGGTGGATTTTTTTCTGGTTGTGAACTTTATCGTTGGGTTTTCATCTCTAGTTTTTCTGTTATAAATTAGTTTTTTTTCTTTTTTGTATTTTTTTTTTTTTAAATAAAGTTACGTGAATCATGTGATTGATTTTGATTGGTCGATCACAGGTCACCATGGTGATGGGTCGCCATAAAATAATACCCTTTATTAAATTATATTATACTAAATATTTTAATAAGATCGAAAATATTTGAATTTACTAAACAAAGTAAAAAAATTTCTTCTTATGTAATCAAATATTCTATATAATTAAATAATAAATTTTACGATTACTTATAATATATTTGTTTTATATATTTAGCCTTAAATAACTTAAATAACAAAAACTTATAATAATAAAAAATTTATTTTATTAAAATCAATTAAATCTGTGTACTTTTAAAACAAAACTATTTATAATATATATGCATATATTGCATAAAAGTTTGTTTGATAAATGCATAATTTATCATATTCAAAATTTTTCAAATAATACATTAATCATCTATATTCATGATAAATATCTTAAAGTTATAACTATTAAAAGAATCAGTTTTATTATTATTTTTTTTTTTAAATTTATTTTGATTAATTCAAGAAAATGAATATTGAAAAAATGCTATTGAAGGGTTTAATAATTCTATAAAATAAGTTTGATGATATTAATATTAAATTAGGTATTGATTGTGAAGAATTTTAAGAAAGCTTGTAGAAAGCATTAGCTTATATTATTTTCGAAATTTTTCAAAATATTATTTTTCGAATTCCTTCAATTATTTTTTCAAATATTTTTCGCAATTTTTCAAAGAAATATTTTTCAAAAATTTTTGAAAAAATTTTGCGTATTTTTTCGTTATTTTTTCATTATGCAAATTTTTTCAAAATTTTTTGTACTTTAAAATTTGCTGATGTAGTGTAGTAAAAAAACCTCTAAGAATCAAATATCTTTTTGTATTAAAAGGATTAATAATAGAAGGTTCTATTAAATAATTTATATAAACAATTTTTAGTTTTTAAATAAGTATAGATTAAAGAACAATATTAGCAATACAAAAAAAACCAGATAACTTATCAAATATACAACATTGGCTTATCTTGTAAAGAAAAATTAAGAGCTAAAGTGGAATCAAATATACTAGCTCAAGAGAAAACAAATATTTAGATATACTAGTTAAGTAGTTCTATAAAAGTTGTCAGTTTTGGAAGTATGGTGACATAGCAAAGTAGTCAAGTTATTATCCCAAGTGGCAGGTCAAGAGTTTGAATCTCACTGGTGATGAAAATTCGAAAATTCTGCTTGTATTATGGCTAACTATATTTGACAATCAGTTGGAATAGAATATTTGTAACTATAGATATACTAGCAAGACTGGAAGGTCTGGGCATTCATGTAATATAATGTTATACAAAGAAATGCAAACTGATAATAGGGTGATGCAAATACAAAATAAGCTCCTGGGCTATATAAATTCAGAGAACTGTGAATATAGAAGCCCGCTTGGCAAGTTACGAGTAGAGAGATAGCACAGATCTTTGACAGAGCTACTGTAAAGGTTAGATCCAGAAAATAAAACCTATGTAAACTGAACTGAATGAAATATAGGGTGTTAGAGTTGCACCCACACCAACCAGACTCTGCAAATAGGAAAGAGGACCAGGAATCTAGCTAGAGAGCCACTACAATTGCAGGCAAGTCGTAGTGATAGTGAGAGATCTACTAGCTGCCCTTTGGGTACCTGCCAAGATGCAGAGGAAAAGTATATGGTTACTGGGCCATCTAGCTTAGAAGTCAAGAACTAGGGTTAGGGTCACTGCTATTGATAAATAGATAAAATCATCAATACCAACTAGGCCATCGTCGAATCAAAGAAAAATAAGTGATTACATATTGGGCCATTTGGATTGGAAGTCTGGGTAAAGGGAGCTAGGTTCCTAAAGTACTAGAGATATACTATGAATAAATTCTGGGGTTTAAGTGAACTCTACAAGGGCAGAAGTAGATTTAAATAGCAGAATTCAGCCAAACTGGTGCTAAACCATAAAAGAAAGCAGGAAAAAGTTTAAGCTAAAGGAAAAAACCATAGACAAGAACCTCAACCTGGTATTATACACAATCTCAGGATAAGCAAACTGAGTCACAAGTGATGATCTATAGTTTATACGTACTAAACTAAAGTACAGGCTTGATACAGTATAAAATAGAAATACTGCAAGCTCTGCCAGATTTACCTCAAGGATAAAGAACCAGAAGTAGGTTACAAATGTGATGGAGGTCTGCTTTAAAGTTCTAAGTCATTATGTAAATATGCGCTAGGAAGACTAGTTCATAAAATCAGAAAAACAGTTGCTGATTTATATAAGCCTTAAAGTATATAGATGCAGAGGGTTTATATGGATAACCCTCTAGTAAGTTGCAGGTACAACAACTAGTATAAAACCTAGTAATAGGCAAACTACTTAAATTAACACTTAAAAGGTGCAGGTATGACTAGATGTACTCTCCAAATATATATAATGATGTTTGAAATCAATAAAGCACACTTGACCAAGAGGTCACTTTAATACTGAAAAAAATAAAAAGTTGCCAGTTTTAAAACTTTGGCTAACAGAAAACCAGATCTATATAAGAACTTGTATTATATAATTTGTAAAAAAAAATAAAAAGAAAAATTAAAATTATTTAACAAAATATAAGAAATATAAAGAAAAATAGAATAAAATAAAACAAACTTTATCAAATCTAGCCTAAGTTTTTTTTAAAAAAAGTAAGAAATTAGCTCAATAAAGTCTAGCTTAAGACTATATTCTAAAAACTATCAAAAGAAAAAAAACAGAACAAGAATTAGTATTCTTAAAGGTCTAATCCAGAAAAAGATTTTCAGAAAAATCCTCAACATTATAAAATCTCTTAAAAAAGTGAAGAATTACTTAAAAATTGTGATAAATCTGGCATAAAATTTCTTTTATGAAAATATATAAAAACAAAGATACATAGCTATTAACAAATAAGAAAAGAAAGAAGGTATAAATATTAGACAAAAAAGAAGAACTAAGCTGAATCAAAAAGCTTAAGTACTAATACAAAACAAATATATGTAATTACAAAAAAAGTTTTCAAAAGCCAAGACCAAACCAAGAATAAAGTTAAAAAAAAAATAAAGAAAAGCAAAGAAAAAGAAAAGTGATATACTTTTTTTGATAATCCTCTGAACAATGCAACAAAAAACTAAACTACAAAAAACTTTATAAAAAATTCAAGATAAATACTATTTTTAGTATTGTTGTTGAGTAAATAGTTGTCAACGAAGCCTAAAGATATGAAATATTGAGAAGTAGATATAATTTGAGTAGTTCTTCTTGGGGTCAAGCTTTTTATATTTTTGACAAACTTTTTAAAATATTTGATATTTAATCTAGAAGGTTTATTCTGAGAACTAAACTTACCTTTAAATAGATTGCTATTGACTAAGCTTAAAAGATGTAAAACACTAAGAAACAAGTATAATTTAAGTAGTTTTTCTTAGGTTAAGTTGGTTTGGCTCTAGCAGACTCCCCAAGATATTCAATATTCAAACTAGAAGATTTATTTTAGAAGCAAGTAGTGAAATATCTCTTGCTAAAATAGTTTAACCTTGAAGATTTAACTATATAACTATAAAATTTACAGAAAAATCTTACATATTTTTATTGACCTCTATTTTTTTTTAAAGAAAATTTTATAAAAAAGTAGACAATTTAGTTTACTCTCTCCAAAAGATCAACAAATTGTTTACTTACCAAATTAGGCAGTATTGTTTACTTTTAATCTGTTACAACAAATATATAGATATATATAGAATATGGATATATAGATTATATAGCTCAAATGTGACAATCTAGACAAATAGTGCTCTAAGTCTAATAGTATAAATTTTTGATCTCTCTATAGTATTGATATTAAAAAAGCTATTTTTTTTTTCTTTGTGGTTTTTTGTTTAAATATATTAATTATATAAATTAATATAAAGAATAGTTTAGATAGTAATATATAATTTTTACAAAGCCTGATACAGGCTTATAATTGTGACCATCCAGTATGGATAAAAAATCTTATATTTAGTTTAGTTTTTTCATTTTCTCTTTACATTTTTTTTTATTTGTTTTTTTTTATATATTTCTCTATATCTTTGTGTTTGCTTTATATAAGTTTTTTTTTTTTTTTACTTCTCTATAAGAAAATATCATCAGATTAGTGATATTTTATTGTAGAGCAGTAGTCAAACAAGCTTCCAGTAGAGTATTATCTTAATTGATTATATGGGCTAGGTGCTGAAAAAAGGGCAGAAAATAACAATTTTATAAAATTTTTTTTTAAGCTTAACTAATTCAAAATTGGCTTATAAACATTTTTTACTTAAGAAAGAAGTGTTGATATCTTAATAAAATTTTTTGGTATAAATAAAATGATGCGAAAAACTAGTTAGATCGAAGAAATATTTTCAATATAAATCAGTGTAAATCGATGTAGATCATCAGAATTTATCGTAAAAATGTTGAAGTAATATCTCATGATGATAAACTAATAAAAATTATGGATTTAATATTTTAAAGTTCAAACATAAATTTTAATGATTTTATTTTTTATAATTTATTGTTGTTCTCTTTTCAGATTAGGCATTTTGCTCAAAGGTCTGTGTGTGCTAAAAAGTAGGTACTTTTAGCTAAAATCAGTAATGTTTTTAATTTAGCAAATTTTTATTAAAAGTCTAAACTTCGATTTTTTTTTTTATTACTTAACCGTAGTTATAACGAATACTCTTCATAAATAACGTACTGCACTGATTAAAGACCCAGAGTCTAAGCTTATAAAATATCTGGGTATATTGTATGACAAAGAAGACTAGAAAATGAAATGCAGTCTGCTTACAATTAATAGAATTCTCAAAATTCTAGTAGTTTTCACCAAGTATTATATATGGAAGATATAACAAAAAGGGATACTTTAATCAGTATAATATGACACATATAATAAAATAAACTACAGCCAAAATATTAGAAATACTAGTTTTTGCTAGCCCGCTTGTTTAATAAACTAATAAACAAGTATAATTGCAGATTCTTTAATGCACATATTACATTTTGAATATCTTACGCTTAAATCAGGTTTGTACTTGCGTATAGTTTCAAATTAATATTTCGATAACTACGTAATAATATAATATATATTCAAGCAATTTATAGATAATATTACCTGATATGAATGATTTGAACGGAATATTCTGTCTTGTGAATATGAAATTGGAGTTAGGAAGTATTTTTTATCAAAACGTGTGAATATGAATGATCTAGACGGAAATATTCTGGCTTGATTATTATTATGAATATAGAATAAGAGTTAAGAGGGATAAAATAATACATTTGTTCATTATCAAAAGTCTGCGATATGAATTATCCAGTCAAAACATTCTGGCCTTTATTGTTATAGAATTAAGATGAAAATAAACCATTCATTTATTATCAAAAACTGACAGATATGAATAGTCTACCTGTAATCTTTTGGCTTTGTTACTTATTATAACATGGATTTGAGTTAGGAATTTATTTATTTATTAGCAAAAAATTTTGCTAAGAAAAGTTATTGATTACTAAAAATTTGTAGTTATGAATAATCCAGTCAGATATTCTAGCTTGGGTTCTTTTATGAGCATAAAATTGGAACTAAGAAAGATAAAATAAAGTATTCATTCATGATCAGAAAAATGTAGATATGAATAATCCAGTCAGAATATTCTGGAGCTAGAATTAAAAAGAAACATTCATTTGTTATAAAAAAGTTTACAGGTATGAATGATCTTGATGGAATATTCTGACATATTTATTGCTATGAATATAGGTTGGTACAAATAAAAATGAAAATAAGCCATTCACTCATTACTAAAAATCAAGATATGATAATTATAATAGAATATATCAGATTGGTATTGTATATTATTAGAATCAGTAAATTTTTATTATTAATTGTGTAGTATGAATATTACTATCAATTAATTATTCTAGTTTTTACCATTATTTAACTAGCTTTAAATTACAGTCTAACCCTGATATAACGAAGCTCTGGAGCTAGGTTAATTGGTTCGATAAATCAAGATTCAATATATTGAAATACTTTACTATAATAAATTTATAATTTTGGCTAGAAAAATTCTTCATTACAGTGGCTAATTCAGTTCATTATATTGGGTTATATTGTATCCAAATTTTTATTTTATCTGTAGTCAACTGTATTATAATTGAATTTTTTTTTATTTTTTACTTTGCATATAGATATTTATACTACATCAATGAAGCAGTATTGTAGATTGATAATAATCTGATTGAAGGCTTTATCAGCAATGATAGTTGCTTTCATTGTTTAATCGCTTAAATTGTTGTAATTACTTAAATTAGTTAGCATTCAGACTTAGAGTTGTATATTTTTGGGTAAATCCTTGTTGAAAGCAAAAAATAATTTGCATAACCATTCAACAATAGTCGTATAAATTATTCATTAGGCTTTAACTTCTTCGGATCTTATCAAAAAAATATGGATTCAACACATACATTAGTTTCTTTAATTTTTTTAGAAACACATTCAGAAATATATTTGTTAGCAAAAGAATTTAATCAGCTTAAAATGTTTTATCAAACAAATGACAATTATGAGTTAGAACTAAAAGAATCATTAGATAATAAAGAATCTTTCCTTGAAAATATAACATCTAACAATATAAAAGAAATACAAAAATCTAATAATCAAATTCTTACACATTTGCAAATCGAAAAATTTAAAAAAATATTTGCTCAACATACTATTAAAGAAAGTGATGATGAGCAAAAAACTGACGAGAAAATGACAGATCTTTTAGATCAGCAGAAAAAGGAGGCTTTTTTTGTTAATCTTTGTACATTAGTTTGCTATAAAACTAAAATGTGTTTAACTAAAATTAATCATGAACTTGCGTTTCAAACTTTTGATTGCATTTGAAAATTATTATTATTTTTTTTTTTTCGGTATTAAGGTGAGGTCTTGCCTCTTATCTTTATTAGATGTTAGATTTTTGCCTTATATGGCTACATATAATCTTAAGAATACTGGCTTAGACAATTTTATCTACAACCTAAACCTACCAGAGTATGCTACGTTTCCACTACGTATTGGGTTATACCTGGATTTGATGTTCAAACTATATCTAGTTACCCACTGCATTCACCCCATGTCTCACCGTCAAACCTTGGTAACTTCATATTCGAAAATTATCAAAAACAGAGCATAGTATATTTTTTATAGAAATGATTCATGCAATGACTTGTTCTAAAGATACAACTTTGCGTGGTAAAGAAAACAATACTTAACTGTTAAATATACTTTTAATAATAACGAAATTTGTGAAGTAGCTTTTCGAACTATATATTCACTATTAGAAAAAAAATGGAGAACTATTCGTAATCATTACCAGGACAATAGTATTATACCAATTGTACACGCACTTACAAGAAGAAAATCCCATCACGCTTTATCATTTGCGACTATTTTAAATGTTCTTACATTTATAGTTAATTATTTAAATTGTTATGGATTGCCATCACCGGGTAAATTGATAGCGATATTAGTTAGTCTTTTTTTTTAAATACTGTAAATCTATACCCATGTAGATTACTCTTTTTTAAGACTTTAATCGAAGGTATCTCAACAATCATCTATAAATTTCGGTGAACTTTTTTTTATTTGCATTCTATGAATCCACAAGATTCAAATAAAAAAAAGTATATCAAATTTCATAGAGTAGTTGTCGAGATATCTATGATCGAAGTTTTAAACATTTATCAAGATATAAATCGCAGCAAAATGTCTCCTGATTTTGATCGAAGATATCTTGACAATTACTTAATGAAATTCTATATACTTTTTTTATTTGAATTCCATGAATTCATAGAATTCAAATGAAAAAAAGTATATCGAATTTCATTAAGTAGTTGTCGAGATATCTTCGATCAAAGTTTTAAAAATTTTTAAACGTCTATTAAAATACAGTATAAGCCACGGCAAAATGTCTTCTGATTTTGATCAAAGATATCTCAACAACCACCTAATAAAATTAAATGTATTTTTTTTTATTTGAATTCTATGGATTCATAGAATTCAAATAAAAATTGTTTATCAAAATTTATTTGGTAACTGTTGAGATACCTTCGATCAAAGGTTTAAAAAAAGTGATCTATATGGGTATAGAATATGTATCAAAAATAGGATATGAAAATATTAGCTTCTTAAAATAAAAATTTTATTAGACCATCATTTTTCTGAAGATACTATGGCTGTTACATTTCTTCCTGCAAGTAAAAGCTATATTGGACTCTACCATATCTATCAATCAAGTTTAGATAAAACTTCTGATTTTCATATTAGTCGATGGTCTTTTGTACGAATTTGAAAAAAATATATTTCAGAAATTCACTTTTTATCACCTCAAAGTGACCTATGTATGCTATGTAAAAACATGCAATTTAATGCTCAATTTTGGGCAGAAAGTGAACGAGATCAAAATGTTCAACAATGAAATGATCATATTAATTAGGCAAATCAAGAACAGGAGTATTATAAGTAAGAAAATCTTTAATTAGAATTAATTGTATAATAATTTTTGATAATCAGAGCCGTCCTAGTTAGAGATATACCTCTTGCGTGATCAACCTAGCATATATTTCACATATTTTGTGCACGACTTCATTGTGCAAGTCATGAGAATCATGTGATAAGAATTTATTTCAGCAAGTTATTCCATGAAAATTGTACAAGGTCACAAGAGTGATGGTTTGGTTATTTCACATGGAGTACATCTCTAGTCCTAGTATTGTTTAGTTTACATTATAAGATCAAGTCAAGTTGATTTTCTGTTTAATATAGCATAAGATGACTTGTAAGATAGGGTGGGGAATTAAGAAAAATATATAATAATATTAGATACAAATTAATGCCACAATTTTATTGGTTAATTTGATATGTATTAACCTATATAGAGTT